ATTAACTCAATGATATTAAATATACGTGACAAATTTCTTGAGGGCACAGACCTTGTCTACACCCAGCATCTAGAACAGTACCTCATATATGGTAGGCACACTCCATAAATATTTGCTGAAAGAATGACATTTATGACTATCTCATGGGTTTCACGGACATATTCTGGATGCTTCTTACCATTGCTCAAATCCACCCATGTTGTCTTTCAAAATCTCATCACCACCCTCCTCTTGAAGAAAACCCGAGAGAGAGTATGAAAGTATCTCCTGCTTTAAATGTTAAATTAAGATGCTTTCCCCTCAGTATATAAGATTCTAAAGTCAAACTAAATCTTATCAATATTTCAGAAGTCAGTAGATAGCCTTTAATGGAAAGGAAATACAGGTTTCCAGTCATTCAGTAATCCCACATGTGCCCTAGTAAATTTAGTACAAGATTTTTCAAAGTAAATCTGATATAAAAACTTCTAAGCTTCTTTCTAAACTATAAATGGGGAGCCTGGAGGTGTGAAAACTACAAATGGGGAAAAAGGGTGTGAACATGACCTTCTCCGAAGCAGTCCAGTATCTAAAACCAGTCTGTGGAAAAAAACCTTTAAAAGGAATCTAGCTCACCCTCCCACACAAAGCATGAAACCCTCCAACGTCACCAACAGGTGGTCCTGCAGTTTTTGACAGAGACAGAACATCTCCCACTACAGAATGCTCATTCTCTCCCTAGTCACCCCATTATTTCCTCTATTAACTCTGGCTCTAAAAATATTTTAGTTGTTACCAACTGACTCTTCTTCTGGCCCCAACTTCATCTCAGCATGGTGAGTACAAACTTTTTCTAGCATGAAGACCTAGAAATTACAATGTTTTCAACTTGCTTTCCCAAACACCCCACCCCACCCAATTCAAATTAAAGAACAAGCAATGAATACAAGACATAAAGACATCTCCCCAATAGAAAGATAAATTTATTTTCATTAAAAAAAAGAAAAAAAAAGCACAGAATCATATAACCTTTAGAACTGAAAAGGCTTTAGAACTATACATACACTTCCCACCTATCGCAGGAATTGCTGCAATAATATCTCTAGGCAGTACGCTTGTGGCCTGGAATCTTAAGATGGGGGAGGGGAGGTGGGAAACAAGGTTCTTTGGCTTGAATGTTAAGTATTCTGAGTACAGTTTAAAAAAGTTGTTAGTACATGAATATCATAGGTAACATGTTGATAGAAGTAAATCAAAAGTAATCTGTGCTATTTGGTTACTTTCTCTTACCTCATTGTCTCTTGCTACACAATTTCCCAATTTTAAGAAACCTATGTTTGTTACCTGTTAATATTTTTAAAGGCCTTTAAATAGATGAGAGCTACTAAAAAATACCCAAGTTACTTTTGGGCCCAAAACAGAATAGGTTTTTCAGCTTCTAAAGATCTTTTTAAAGTTTGGCATAGATGGACATGGATTTATTTAGTCATTCGCTCAACAAACACACAGTAAGAGCCTAACTCGATGCTGGACACTGCACTGTGAAAACAGTCCCCATTCTAAAGGAGCTTTGTTTAAGGAAGAGACAGACTATCACACAGAGAATTACAAACTGAGAAAAGTGCTAGAAAGGCAAAGTACAGGATGTTATGAGAATATGTAGTAGGGGAAAACTGATCTAGCCTGGGAATTCAAAGAAGGATTTGCTGAGGAAGTGATGGTTAAGCTGAGATTGGAATGGAGGCCATTCACATTTATGTAAAAACAGATCTCCATAAAATTAGAGGATTGGTTTAATAAGCCCAGGTACCTTTGCTGTCTTTATTCTAAAACAACCTCTTTTTAAAAATAGGAAAACAAAGTATACCATAAAGATGTTTGAAAACTAGTAGCTGAAAGTTCTTTGGAGGGAGGCACAGGATTCTTACTCATCTTTGAATACCCCACATCAACTTGCCTAGTATTACTACTATCAGAGCAGTCACACAAATTTTTGTTCAACTGATTAGTGTCAGTATTAAATCAATATTCATACTATCTTTAGTTATGCAAAACAAATTCACAAAAGTACATCTCCTCACACAAAAAACCCATTCTGGACTTCCTTGATTATGAAAAGATGCTTTCATCTACCTCACAGATTGCTATGAAGATTCAACAAGACAATAATATATGGCAAAATACTGGGGTAAATTTTGAAGTGCTTGGAGTACTGGGTATCCTTATGACTCAAAAGCTTGATCAGTCTCTACTGACTAAGACAGTTCTTTAGATTCTGCTGTGCTTTGTTTTCCTACCATGAGAAAAAACTGTAACACCGGTTTGCATCCCCTCTCTAGCCTTGGTTTTCACTGAGCGGGATAAGACTACATAAACGCTAAGGTCCCTTCTAGCCCCAGACTGACATGGAAACATTTTTTAGATATACATGTTAGACTACTTCCTGATCCACTCCATTTCCCCAGGACTCCATGCTTCCTCTCACATAGTTTGTGATTTAAGTCCTTTAAAAGACCTATTTTCCATTCATTTTATATGCAGGCTTAAGTTGAATTTATTTATCCAAATTAGACCTTATAAATGATCTGAATAATTGTAAAACTTTATTTTATATTTTTGTTTTTTGGTGAGTGGCCAGTACAAGGTGAATAACTGTAAAACTTTATACGCTTTGAAGAAAAAAATTTTTTAAAGTCAAAATGGCCAACTGTCAAAAATAGATTAACAATTACTAACCCCTCAAGATAAATTTTGGTTTTCTGATTAAGGACAAATTATTTGTTCTATTTTAAAATCAGAAAATAGAGTCACAAAGTCATTTATATCCAGAAATAACAATAAATAAATACAACCTCACCCATGGAAAACAAAAATTTTTAAATTACAATGGCCAGAAGAGAGTTGAAATGTCATGACACAATGCAAACGTACCTACAATATACTACCACATGAAAATGAAATTTTACCACAAAAAAAAGTTCAAGTGCTCAAATTGTGCAGATAAAGGCAATTTACATATTTCAGATTTGTCTTGTTTAAAATAATTTTTTGCTGTAGTTCTGGAAAGCTTTCCTAGTTTTACCCTTCAGTGAATAGTGTCTCATTTTAAAAGAGAACACAGTTGTAATGATACTTCCAGGCAAGAGACCTGTTTTCACCATGCAAACCAGGACTACCAGATAGAGATAAGGTTTGCCATTGGAACACTTTAGAAATAATAATAACCTTTTGGGCCAGCCCCGTGGCTCACTCAGGAGAGTGCGGCACTGGGAGCGCCAAAGCCACGGGTTCGGATCCTATATAGGGATGGCCGGTGCACTCACTGGCTGGGCGCTGTGCGGATGACACCAAGCCAAGGGTTATGATCCCCCCCCCCAAAAAAAGAAATAATAACCTTTCTAATAAAACTTTTTTAAAAAAGTAATGCCTGCATTAGTAATTGCTAGTGTTAGTCAATTTAGCTTTTAAGTATACTGCATTTTTTATATAAATGAGTTTTAAAAGCTTAAAATTCTAACCTTATTTCCAGAGAAAAAACTGATCCTTTCAATCCTAGTACCAATGTCAAGATGGCAGCTTCCTATTTGACAGTAACTCTTAATGCTTTTTTTTTTTTTTGTCTTTTTCGTGACCGGTAAGGGGATCGCAACCCTTGGTGTGGTGTCGCCCGCACCGCGCTCAGCCAGTGAGTGCACCGGCCATTCCCATATAGGATCCGAACCCGCGGCGGGAGCGTCGCTGTGCTCCCAGCGCCGCACTCTACCGTGTGCGCCACGGGGCCGGCCCCTTAATGCTTATTTTAACTATATTTTACATCTACTGAGTGTTTCAGGGCTTTAAAGTTCATTACACTTATTATATTATTAATTACAACATGTGGACTGCAATATTTCCTTCTTAAAGAGGTGCAAACAGAATAATTTATCTAAGGTCACTCAACAAATCAGTGACAAAGTTGGGAGTAGGACTAAAACATCAATCCCTAGACTACTAACTACTTCACACTTTTCCAATTCCAAAAGAGAAAAAAGTTAAAAAAAAAAAAAAAAAAGTCAAGGGATTTACTTTCGGTAACTTCTAAGAGCATACCCCAAATACAATAGTAGACTTATTAACATAAACACTAATAAAAAAGTGAAAGAAACAATGAATGAAAGAATGAACTTGCTACATTTATATACCACTGTCACTTCCCTACTTCTTGTAACCAAGCAAAAACACTGTACTGGATCCGGATACATTAAATCCTAGGGAATTTTGACGCTTCAATATGTACGATTTATTTTCACACTAAACGAATATGTATAAATTAATCTTTTATCACATTGTCCCATTCCGAGGTGCTGTGGGGATGCATTAAACTCACTCTTTCAAGAGCCAAGACCACAATCTCAAAAGTAAGCAGTTCTCAGTGAGAACATAGTTACATAGCCAATGAAAGAAAAGCTCTAATATATTGCTCCTGTTAAAAATATATTTTAAAAGATGATTACATGCTTCGTAGAATTATTGTTAAGTCACCCGCCAAGAAGGATGGTTCCTTTAAGGTACCTTTTAAGGCATATCCCTCCCTGTTTAGGACACAGTCTGACTTGTTGGACAAGATTAATCTGGGCACGCTCACACAGAAACCCTCTGAACCAGCTTACTTCATTGAAAACATCACTTCAACCTCCCAACTGTAGTACTCAGCCCTTCCCATTCTACAAGGGACAGGATGACGACCCTCTTTAAAAACCTTTCAGGAGAAGATTCCCTCGGTGGAAACAGTGACGGCCCTCCTCCCTAGATGTTTTTGGAGATGGCAAGTGTTAACACCAGAAGGAGCGGCTCCTAGGAAGTGTCAGTGCGGCAGCAGGTGGAGTAGCCCTGCGTGCCGAGCAGGTTCTTTCTGACCTAGTCCCGGTCCTCCGCTTCCCAGCCGCGGTTCCGCCTTACAGACCTTTCCAAGCCGCCTTGGCCGAGACTTCCAACCCTGCCGGGAGGCGAGACAATCAAAGCAGACCAGACGGGCACCCCACCTCTTCCGGGGACTCGCAGGCCCGCTCCCTGGCCATGCAGAGCCTCACAGACCCTGCCGGAGGGGAAGCAGCCGGCTCCCTCTGGGGCCTCCCAGCAGGAACCCCGCACCCCACGGTCCCTTTCCACAGTCCTCACCTCATCGAAACGCCACCGCCACCACCCTGCTCACTCCTGAATCCCCTTTCCTCAGGAGTACCCCAGTGGAGTTACCGGCCCACTCAAAAAGTAAGAGCGACGGCCACCCCATCGGTCACCCTGGTCCCACTTGTCACCGCCCTGCCCCCGGCCTCTGCCCGTGTCGTTGGCGGGCCCCGGCGACGCCTGGGTCGGTACCTTGCGGACCCCCTTGTAGATATAGAAGTAGAGCTCCCGGCCCACATTGAAGCAGAGGCGGTCGCCGTTGCCAGACTGGTCGTTGAGGTTTACGAAGGAGACGCGGACAGGGTTGGATCCCTGCGAGTTGAAGGGCACCCGGTTGGGCCGGCTGTACTCCGAGTGCGGCAGTAGCTTGTACAGACCTTCCCGAGTGGTGAATTGGGTCTTAATCTCGTTCATCTCCTTCCCTCCTCCCTCCGTCGCCATCTTGGAAAGCAGCGTTCATCCTGCCCTAAGTGCCCGGATCACGCCCACCGCGCAGGCGCCGTCCAGGGTGCTCGCTCTGCCCCCGCCCCTTCCTCCTAGTCCCTCCCTCTCGCGAGCCCGCCCCGTGAGGGCGGGCCGAGGGGAAGGGGCGGGCTTGTTTACGGCCCGACTGCGCAGGCGTGCTCACCTGGCGCGCTCCACGCCGCGGGGCGTCCGCGGCTCCTCCCCTGGGCGGCTCCGCTGCGGCCTGGATGGCACTGGGTAGTCATTCCTCCTCCGTCGCCGTCGGGGCGTGGGTAGAGCCAGCGGGGGAGAGCGCGGCGGGGCTAGGGTGGGGATCGCTGAGGTGAACTAGGGGCGGCCTCGTCAGCTGTCCCCGGCCCTGCCGTGAGGCGCCTCAGGACCCTTAGGAAGGGAGAGAGAATGCCGCCTCGACTGCCGCGCGTTCCAAAATACAAAAAAATGTATTTGCAAGTCACATAACTGAGTACCTGTGTATAGTGTGCACTGGGGGTACCGGTACCCTGAGGAGCCCTCGGACCGAGGCACTTCCGCCCGCCCGGAGGGCTGAGGCGCGCCCGCACGACCGTCTGGATGCCCTGGTCCGGGAAGCCCCTCTGCGCCTCCTTGAGTCAGTTTCCCAGCAGGTACCGAAGGACTTGGGTTTTACGCTTCACTATCGGGTATTTTTAGGGCAGGTGAGGATAGAAGTACGTACAGGTACGAGGGCACTTCGAAAGGTTCGTGGAAAGTGAGATTAAAAGATATTGCGAATCTTTCCGTGAACTTTTGAAGACCTCTTGCTTATATAAACACAGCAAACGTATTTGCAAGTCACGTACCTGAATACCTGTGTACAGTGAGCATTGGCTACTTTTAAGGAAAACATGTTGTCTTGGCACTTTTGTTCCTTATCAAAGTTTGTCTTCAGGTGTTTAGAAGAAAGCGGGGGGGGCGGGGAGCTTTGGGAACCAGAGACGGAATCTCTGCAGGATTCACTTCTCTTGCTCAGTAGTTTATTAAGAGCTCTTAATAAAGGTAATTGATTTTTTTTTTTTAAAGACTCAAGTGGAATCTGTGAAATTGTTTACTAGGAGATCCTTAGGAATAGTTGTATGCATATACCATACAAGATCTAGGTATATGAGGAGAGGCACACGTGTTAAGATTAAACAATCACGATTTTGTAACCTGGGTTTTCTGGTATATTGCACTAGAAGGAGAAAGCTTCTAAAGTGGCAGAAACATTCTGATAGAATTTCAGGGGGAGAAACACCATTTGTTACACCAAGAATAAAACTATTCCTCAAAGTTCAAATCATATCTGGAGGCTCCCAAAAGAATTGGAGGGAGGTAAGTTCTAAAGTAGGAGGAGTCTAAATCACAAACAAGATGTATTACAAAGCAAATGGATACCAGTAGAAACTGTCCCAATGATGTAATAATGCATTTGACACTAGCATCCTGTAGCCTTTGTACATGTTGGCAAAAAAAGCACTAGAGTAAAATCGTACTTAATTAATAGATCCCTAAAATATTTAATTTTTGTTACAATTGTTTTGATGTCATCTGCCTTTCCCTAAGAGTCAAATAGAGGGCAGCACTCAAAATACAGAATGTGTTCTGTGGTTACCATGGATTTGTCCCAATCTCTTATAACTGTTATTTTACATCGAAAATGCATATTTATAGTGATTATCTTGAGGGATAGTGACATCCTGAATCATCTAAAAATAAGTCAGTTGTGTTTCCTAGTTATCAAGGGGGGGAAAGTGAAATACTTTTTTGGGGAGAAAAAAACCTCAGCAAGCAAAAGTTAAAACAGTTTTTTATTATTCCTCAGTTAACCACAACACTCTATTTCCCTCTATAACGCAGACATTCTGTTACTGCTTTATCATATATAAATTCAACATTTTTATTATGATCATAATAATAATAGACTAATCACTTTGTCTCATCCATAAGCTTTGAATAATCTCTATTTTTAGTACTTTTCTCTTTTAACTTCCCCCCCACTATCAAAGATCAATAAATAACAACCAAAGTTATATAAATGGGCCTGACCTAAAGTTCATTTCTGATTTTCAGTTTCAAATCAGACGTTTCTAAATGAATTCATGCCTCAAATTCATCAGTCTCTAAACCTTATCAGTTCCCTTTTTGTTTCAAATTTGGATCATTATGATGGTTTTATGAATTATTTCCTTAATGTCACTTTTTCTCTCAACTTTCTTCCTATAAACAACTACCAAGTTAATTTTCTTAAGACGGTGCTTTAGACATTACATTCTCTTGCCCCCAAAATTTCAGTGACTTGCAATATCCACATTATTTAAGCCATATACCAACAATTCTCAACCTTTTCCTTACCTATTGCATAAATCCTCCATTCCAGTCATACTCTTCTGCTGTCACCCTTCGCTATGTCCCTTGCTTGAAAAGATCTTCCCCTTGCTTTATCCTTCATAGCCTGTTCTTTAAGAACTAGTGTAAGTCCCATCTTCACCAAAACTTTCGCAGTCCCTGGGTGATAAAACCATACTTGAAACCAAGGATTCTCAACTCAGATTCCTGGCTGGCTTCAGGGAATGTTTGAACTCCCTGTAATTGTATTCAAAATTTTGTGTAGATGTTTATTATTATCATAAGAGTGTATAGCGTTCTTCAGATTTTTAAAGAGATGTGATCACCTTCTCCCAAAAGTTAAAAATTACCTCTAAACTTCTGAGCTTTCATTTGTCATTTATAATATCCTAAATTTATCAGCATATACTATTTATCTTGTATAGATACTTATCTTTTAATACACATATGCTGCCTTTTAACCAGATTGTATGTACACTCGAGATAGGAGTGGCCTTGTTAAAATTCTTTGTATCCTCAAGCATTTGAGTGCCTATATGTGCCACACTATTCTAGCCTTTGGGATGCATCAGTAAACAAAAATCACTCAGTCATGGAGTTAACATTTTCACAGGGAGAAGACAGGATAAACAATGAACACAAATAAGTACATTGTTATAGCGATTGGTGCTAGGAAAAAGAAGTGATTTAAACTGATTTAGGGTAAGGGGGATTGGGAGCGTGTTGTGTAGTTTGCAGTTTCAAATATGGTGGTCAAGATAAGCCTTTTTGAGAAGGTGACATTTCAGCAAAGACTTGAAAGTGTTGCTTTGCATTGCTTCGCCCCCCACGGATTTGTCACCCCACTTCCATTGGGTGACAAAGACGCAAAGGATTACTCAAAGCCGATCTCTTCCGAGCAGTGAGAGGCTCCGAAGTGGTTAATCTCCCACCAGAACCCTCAAGTGAGAGCCATCCCTTCCTTGGGAAATTAATGCCGAATTGGGGTTCTCTTCCTGCATTTATTTTCCAGACCAGGAAGTTACAGGAAGAGAACATAGGTGGGGTTATGTTTAACAATATAGGCTGGTAACTTTCAGTGAAACAAGCCAGATGACATTCCAGCAAAGTAGGCATAAGCAACTGGAGGTTAGAGGAAGATGAGGGAGAAGCAAATTTTGAAAGGAAGATCAGGAGTTCAGTTTTGAGCATATTGAGTGTGCTATATCCATTAGGCATTTAGAGATATATCCAGGAAGCAGTTGGATAATCAAGTCTGGAGAAAGAGCTGAGCTGCCAACATGGGTTCAGCAGTCATAAGCAGATGGGTAGTGTTTAAAGCCTGGATGCCATCACCAAGAGAGTGAGTGTGGATAAAGAGGACCGAGGATGGAACACTGAGACAATCCAAGAGGTTGGGGAGAAGAGGAGTCATATTTGTTGATAGTTTTAAGCTTACCATTTTTTTGTAGTTTAATACTTGTACATATAGAATATTTACTTTAGGCAAAATTTATCATTGTTTTTTAGGTTCAGAGATTAATCCATTAAGATGCTTTAAAACATTTTTTAAACTTTGAGGGAAAAGTTTTTGCTACAGCGATTTTATAAAGAGAGACAGACATAGGTGTTGTGTCTTTAGGAACCACATTTGAAATCTTAACTGACTTACTGTATAAGTGATCCCTCTCTTAGATTTATCTTGTTGGACAAGCTTATTCTATTATTATATTATGACTCAGTACTTCCTTGTAAGACCATTATGGGACTTGAAAACAAATATGGAAAACATTACATAATATACTGTCCTTAATACAGAACTCCTGTTTTGTGCCTCAGATTTGCAGAATGTTAAAACACACACCATTGAGATTCCTAAATTATGATGTTTTTAAATACAAATTGATCTTGTATAAAGCATTATATCTAATCATCATTAAGTGGATGCAATACTTAGTATTTCATATGTATCTTGAAGTGTAAGTGCTTTTTAAAGATCTTTTTTTAAGGTCTTAAAATACAACACATTTAGCAAACACCTATGTGGGCATGATGCGAAGTACTTATATATACTTTTATTTTCATACATAACCTTATAATGTAGGTACCATTATCCCCTTTTTTACAAATGAGAAAACTAAGAATCAGACTAATTAAATGACTTGTTCACTCACTGCCCTATAACTAAGTATTAGGAGAAACAATTTTAATCCAGGTCTCAAAAGAAGGAGGAAGATAATACACTCATTTTTAAATGTGCTCATTTAAAACTAAACTAAAAGGGGGAAAACAGCAATTTAAGTGAAGCAAATGTATTTTTAAAAATTCAGAAGTCTTTTTTTTTTTTTTAAATTCAGAACTAGAAAAGATAACCCAGAGAATGGGAGACAGTATTTGCAAATCATATATCTGATAAGGGATTTCTATCTAGAATTAAAGAACTCTTACAACTCAAAAGACAACCTAATTTTAAAATGGGCAAAGGATTTGAATAGACTCCCCAAAGAAGATATACAAATGGCCAATAAGCACATGAAAAGATGCTCAACATCAATAGCCCTCAGGGAAATGCAAATCAAAACTACAATGAGATATCACTTCATATACACTGGGATGGAAACAATGAAATAGGAAAGACAAATAATAAGAAGTGTTGGTGAGGATGTGGAGAAATTCAGACCCTCATGTACTACTGGTGGGAATGAAAAACTGTACAGCCA